AAACATCACCCAAAGGCAGAGTGACCTTTTTCCAGGGCCAAGCTGAGCTCAGGACTCGGGGGGGACCTTCTTCCTCCCCAGGGACAAACTCCTGCCAGCAAAGCCAGCTCGCAGGGAGGGGTCCTGCCCGCACCCTGAGGGGGTGCAGGATCGCTCCAGGCCTGGGGCAGAAGGGCTGTGCACACCGAGAGTGGGATGGGAGAGCAAGATGTGGGGGCTGGGGGAGCAGGGGAAGAAGCATTTTCTCTTTTCAAACAGGAATCCCCTCCGCCATCCCCTTCCCTTTGCATAGAGCAGCTTGCAGGCAAGTGTGTCCTTCGGTCAACCCAGGGGACACCGAGAGCAGCGGCTGTGACCCCTGGAGGGGACAGGAGCAAGGCTGGGGGGCACAACCCTGCCACTCCCGTCCTCCTCCAGCAGCCCCGGGGCTTGCACAAGGACGCAGGGAAAAGAAACACCAACAACCCCAAACCCTCCCCATCGCTCTGCCCCCAGGTGCAACAGGCCACCTTGATGTTTAAAAAAGGAATGAAGTAGGAAAAAGAAGGGAAGAAAAAAAAAAAAAAAGAAGGCTGAGATGGAGGGAAAGATCTCCAGGTCAGCAGAGAGGAAGCTGGGAAGCGCTGCGGGGATGCTGTCCGTTCACCGCCCAGTCCTGCGGGATCTAACTCTCCTCGCCGTTCTCGCCCGGCCCCTTGATCAGCCGCTTCTGTCCCCGTTTCCCCACGGGCCCCTTGGGCTTGGCGAAGGCCTGCTTGAAGGCATGCTGCTTGGGGTGCACCTCCTCGTACAGGAACTCTGCCGTCAGCTCAGCTCCATCGTCGATCTCAATCTGCGCCCAGAAGATGCGAGGGGGGGTTAGTGGGGTTTCGACACCCACCTCTGGGTGCCCAGCTCCCCCTGAGCCAGCCAGCGGGGCTGGACGAAGGCTGTGGCACGTTCCCTTGCAGATCCCCAGCATGGTTCTCTGCTCCATCGCCTCCGGGCAGGCTCACACTTACCTTCTTGGCTATCTCCAGGCAAAACTCCTGCTCCACAGTGTCCAGCAACCGGCTCTTGCAGCTGGAGTAGAGCATGCGCTCCTTGATGCTGCATTTGTACCCGGGCATGGAGTAGATAAAGACTGCAAGAAGAGAGCACGGCTTGTGGCACTGCCCAGGCTCGTGACCAGGGAGCACCAGGCAGCTCCATCCCAGCCCAGTTGTGGCTTTTCCAGCCCCAAGTGTCCCAGTCTACCCAGTGACAGAGGGCGAGCCATCCCATTCATCACCCCTCCCCACATCTCCCCTGGCAAGCCTGCAATGCCAACGGCCACCATGCCGCCCGCACAAATCCTCTGCGGCAGCACCCGGAGAGCCCCGCACCGCGCACGGCAGCTTCTTTCGGCACCAAGGGGCTTGCCAGCACCCACCACGGGAGGACGGCAAGCGGGAACCCACTCAAGGTCCCCTGCTGCACCATCCCCATCCCTGCTTGCTCGCAAGCCTAGCGAGAGCGGGGACCGGCGCAGGCTCCAACCAGCCCTCCCCAGCGCCGAGGCACTCACCGACAGACTCCAGGTAGTCTCCCTCATGCGAGTGCTTGTACAGGAAGAAATGGTAGCGAGCCGAGTCCTGGGGAATCCTCTTGGGCAGGTCGGCGATCTCCGTGGGGCTCGTGTGCACCAGGTCGATGGTCTCCCGCTCCAGATCCAGCTTCTGATGGACAGAGGGGATGGGGGAGCGGACGGGAGTGAGAGGCGGCAGCAAGAGGCCGGGGCAGCGGGGTGCGGAGGAGCCGCGCGAGGGACCTACCAGCTGGATGTAGTTGATTTTCTTCTGCTTGAGGGCCTGGATGGCTTGTTGAGCATCCAGCTGCAGGGGGAAGGCCAGGCCCTGCAGGGTCTGGTGTTTGCTCTCCACGCTGATCTCCGTCTTCACCTGGGGATGGAGACCACCCCGAGCGTCAGGGCAGAGACCAGCAAAGGGCAGGGAAGGGAGAGAAAGGAAAACCGGCCAATGCCACACCAAAAGGCTTCTCATCCGAGGAGCCACCTGGCACCCGGCTCACGGGCACCACGGCATTAAACTACCGAAAGTCAGCCAGGCTCGGGGCGGCGATGCTCGTCACCATACCGTCGCTCCAGGAGATCACCCGGCCCCAGCCATGCACCCCCACACCCCCACACTTCGCTCCTAGTAAAGACCATCTCAAAAACGATGTTTCCCAGCGAGTCCCCAGCAGGGATGCTGCGGCCAACGCTGGCACGTGTCCATCTCCAGCCACCTCTGATCGCAACCTGCGGGTGATGCGGGGAGCCCTGAAATCACATCGTGCAGCTGCACGGGCCCCCGGCCCAGAGGGCAATCCCCTCCTCAGTGGGTTTCATTGCAGCAGACAGGCAGCTCCTCTGATGCTGGGGCTGGGGAACTGGAGATCCCGGCTCGGAATGATCCTGGCCACTGTTCTCCCCGCAAGGCAGAGGCTGCTGCCCATACCCCAAACAAACCCCTTACTCCAGGAGACCGAACCCCACTTCAAGAAGGGAAGAGAACGAGATCGCGGAGACATCACATCGCCCTGGGTGCCTCCATCCAGCCACAACGTGGGGGTCCCTGACCGGGACCACAGGGTGCCGTGAGCAGGCAGGAGGGAAGGGGGGGCAGGACACGGCAGGCGCGGCATACCTCCTCAGGGCCGGGGTACTCTACCAGCGATGGGCAGCAGCAACAGCCCCCCACCATCTGCCACAGAATACAGGGAGACGGCGTCACCCCGATGGCAGAGGAGCCCATCCCACCTCCAGACCACCCCCCAGATAAACAGTCCGGCAACGCTAACCTGGGTGCTCTGCAGCGAGCGTGGGTCCTTTCCCTTTGGGATCGGTTTGGGGGATTTTGGATAGACAGTCCAGCCTTTTCCCTGCCCCCCCCTTCTTTCCTCCCCCCGCCCAGTAGAGAAAAGGAAGAAAAACCAAGGCATGCCAAGAGAAACACAGGAGTTTTAGCTCACATCTCAAAACCAGCTCAACAGCACCAAAGCGGATCTCGTTACGAGGCTGCCCTTCGTTACAGCAGCCCCGCACGGTACCCACACCCCGGGAGATGATGGACCCTGGTGCCCGGAGCACAGCATGCAGAAAAACACCAGTGGGAGAAGGAAAAACCGGGCATCAAGCGGGCAGAGCAGCCTACCATCTCGGTGCTCGAGTCCTGGGAACAGGAATCCTGCGAGCGTGGGGAGAGGAGACACACCGTCAACGGCACCCCGCGTGGGGACAGGGAGGGGGCCTCGTGTGAAGCGAGAGGGGGTTGGGGACAGACGGACGTGCGGAGGATGGAGGTTTACCATCTCTCTGCTGGAGGCCAGGGAAGGCAGGTCCTGGCGGCGCAGGCAGCAGAGCGGCAAAAAACGACGCGGGAGATGTCCGCGTTGGGGAGGGACGGGAGGGAGAGCCCCAGCCCCGAGCCCCGGCAGCGCCGCACGCCACCTCTCCGCTGATGTCACTGCGCAGAGCCCCGGCTCCTGCCGGCTACTCCCCCTTGGCGCGCCCACC